AAGCTTCTGTACAGTGAAGGACACCATCAATAGAACAAAAAGGCATCCTACAGTATGGGAGAATATATTCATAAATGACAGATCTGATAAAGGGTTGACATCCAAAATATAGAGAGCTCACACACCTCAACACCCAAAATGCAAATAACCCGATTAAAACATGGGCAGAGGATCTGAACAGATAGTTCTCCTAAGAAGAAATTCAGATGGCCAACAGGCACATGAAAAGATGGTCCACGTCACTAATCATCAGAGAAATGCAAATTAAAACCACAATGAGCTATCACCTTATACCAGTTAGGCTGGCCAACATCCAAAAGACAAACAACAAATGTTGGTGAGGATGTGGAAAAAGGGGAACCCTCCTACACTGCTGGTGGGAATGTAAATTAGTTCAACCATTGTGGAAAGAAATATGGAGGTTCCTCAAAAAACTAAAAATAGAAATACCATTTGACCTAGGAATTCCACTCCTAGGAATTTACCCTAAGAATGCAGGAGCCCAGTTTGAAAAAGACATATGCACCCCTATGTTTATTGCAGCACTATTTACAATAGCCATGAAATGGAAGCATAGTAAGTGTCCATCAGTAGATGAATGGATAAAGAAGATGTGGTACATATACACAATGGAATAGTATTCAGTCATAAAAAAACAAATCCTACCATTTGCAACAACATGCATGGAACTAGAGGGTATTATGCTCAGTGAAATAACCTAGGTGGAGAAAGACAAGTATCAAATGATTTCACTCATCTGTGGAGTATAAGAACAAAGAAAAAAACTGAAGGAACAGAACAGCAGCAGACTCACAGAACCCAGGAATGGACTAACAGTTACCAAAAGGAAAGGAACTGGGGAGTATGGGTGGGAAGGGAGGGACAAGGGGGAAAATGGGGCCTTATGATTAGCACACACTATGTGGCAGGGGGGCACAGGGAAGGCAGTACAACACAGAGAAGACAAGCAGTGATTCTATAGCATCTTACTATGCTGATAGATAGTGACTGTAATGGGGCATGTGGTGGGGACTTGATAATGGAGGGTGTCTAGTAACCACAGTGTTGCTCATGTAACTGTACATCAATGATACCAAAAAGAAAACAGCAGCAGACTCACAGAACCAAATAATGGACTAACAGCTACCAAAGGGAAAGGGCCTGGGGAGGGCGGGTGGGAAGGGAGGGAGAAGGGGAATAATGGGCATTACGATTAGCACACATAATGTACAGGGGGCACGGGGAAGGCAGTATAGCACAGAGAAGATAAGTAGTGACTCTATAGCATCTTACTATGCTGATGGACAGTGACTGTGATGGAGTATGTGGTGGGGACTTGATAATAGGGGGAATGTAGTAAACCTGAGCTTAAGATTGTATATCAATGATACCTTAATTTAAAAAAAAAGAAAAGGGAAAATAAAAAGAAATAATCTGTGACAGGAGTATTTTATCTCATGCTAGGGTTGATACCATGGTTTACGGAATCCCCATCTCTGCTTTTTCTTTTGTTTTCTTTGTTTCTATTTCTTTGGGACTTCTTGCAAACTTCCAACTTCTCTGGAACTTTCTCTCTCTCTCTTTCCTCCACTCACCATAGAAATGAAACATGAAATATGTTCTTATTTGTTGGCTTTGTTAACTAAAATTTGGAGTTTTATTTATATGTTGACCTGAAATGTTTCAAAAGATTTTTTTCACAATATACATATTTATTTGTATTTGTAGCTCTTGTACTTAAAGGGAAAAAAAAGGTTTTCAGACTACTAATGGTGGTCAATCATCCCATTTAATATGATTTTGTATGACCTTACTCATATTTGACAAGTTAGAATGTTAAGAAACTACTTAAACTGTTTAGTAATTTATCTCCATCTACATGACCCTTTAGTGAGGGGGAAAGTTTGACTTAAAAAATGATGATCTAATATCAAGGATATCAAGGTAATGAAAGACATAAAATAGCCTTAGGCAGCTTATGATATTTTATCTTCTATTACTTTAGTACATATGGTAAGAAACCCTTAATAAGAAAAAAGTATTTTAAAAGACTTTTAAATATAATTCACTAACAAAAGATGAAAAATTAATTTTTTTGAATTTTAAAGTAGAATTAAAAAAAGTAATTTGAACAAAAATTTATACACTACTGTTATTAAAGTTTCACTCAGAGTGAGAAAAGCAAAGCAAAAAATGACCCTGAAGCCCAATGACAAATGGACACAGAGCTTTTAAAAATATTTATGCATTATCCTTTATCAACTTCAGACCATTCAACATTTGAATACATTTACACACACATTCACTACAAAAGGAGTTCAATCAAAATATCAGTTTGGAAGTTTTTCAAAATATGGCAGACACACCCAAGAGGCAAAGAAATGGTCCAAGTGAAACTTAAGATCTTATTTTTATAAGAGAGCATTAAATATTAAAGTCTTTCTTATGTGCTAATTGGTTTTCATGCTAAAACTTAAATGGAAAGATGATCTCTTTCTTTCACTATTTTCCCATAAATGGATTAAACTTATATTTTACAGTTAGCCCATATTTTTAGAAATCATCTGGTCAATAATGTGAATTGTATTACCTTGTTGGTTTGCAAACTGGCCCCTCCTACACAGAAGGCAAGGAGAGATAGAAGAAAGATGTAGGCCGCTCCAGATTGAAAGGTAGCAGGTTTAATAAGCCAGGGAATTTACATACAAGGCTTATCTTGGGCAGCCTCAAGACTAGTAGATCTCTGCACCTGCTCTCCAGAAATCTAAACGTTTATGTAGAGTCCTTTATGGGGTTCAGTCACATAGCCAGTCCAGATAGTCTCAGCAGTACCATGCTCTTTGAAACCTGGATCCTTGAAAACAGCCCTCACTGTGGGAACAGAGGGCAGACTTACATTCCAAGGACAGGGGAAGAGATAGGGAGCCTCTGATTGCCCAAGTCCAGGTCTGGGGTCAACCGGCAGTCACATCCTCTTGATGACCTCATCCAACATACCCTCCACAAAGAATTTCACCTGAATCGTCAATAAATGTAGGAGAGTAGGGACCTGGAGGTCACAGGGGCACCGCTGGCCATGTGGCTCTATCCCCATCCCTAGTATGAAGGGCACCTCCCTGGAGGATAGGCAGGGGCTGTGTATATCTCCAGTTCCAGAGAATACTGTAGCCTATTATTATATGACCCCTGGGGAGGGATTCTTTCATGGCTCATTGCATCTCAGTGGAAGCAGAGTAGCACAATAACCTCCAAAGTGGTATGTGCAGGAAGTGGTGTACAGGAAGAGATGAGCATGGTACTTAGTACTTATCCAGGAAGAGAGGGCACAGTCATCTGCATTCATCCTTAGTCCGGTCTTATCCTGACTCCCCTTCCAGCAAGGATGTATAGCACTTCATCAATCCACAGCTTATTGTTTCTAATGTTTTAAAATCTATATCATAACTGCTGCCAAGTGTTAAGATTTGTGCATATTTAGAGAGTTCAAAAGGAAGCAGCTTATAAAAAAAAGCGCTCCATTATTTTTTAATAAACTTAATGCTGTTACTGGAATATTCCTGGTATCTAACAGGCTTGTTGGAACACATAATGTGTTTTCATCATAGAGCAGTTAGAAAGTAAGGATAAACTAAAAAAAATCCATAAACTTATCACCAAAAATAACTGCCATAAGTATTTTTGTGTAGTTTTCAGTCTTTTTTCTATGCACACCTACGTAATGATAACAATATCTAGCATTCATTTAATGTTTCTCTGGTACCAGTCACTATCCCAAGTCTTTTACAAGCCTTATCTCATTTAATTCTTATTACAATCTTAAGAAATAAGGACAATTATGCCCATTTTACAGATGAAGATATTGAGGCTATAAAGGGTCTAAGCAATTTGCACAGAATCACACAGTGAGTGAATCATAGGAACTAGTTTTAACCCATATATGCCTAACTCCAGAGCCTGTGCTCTTGACTTCAGTGCCATATTTCTGATTTGTAGAGTCCTTTAGTACTGGAACACTGGGTTATTTTATATAAACCATAATTCTCTTTAAAGTAAGCTCTATAATGAAATAAGCATAAGGAGGAAGAGAAGAAATATGTAATATGACATTTGTATTCTAAGATACACAAAATGTTTAGATTTCACTTCTAAATAGTCAAATGATATTAAGATTTAACCATGAGAAATCAAAATAATTAAGCACAAAATAAAATGCTCAGATTTGCTGGTTAAAGGCACACACACAGTACCAATGTATATATATTTAATTACATATAAATAAAAACAGTGATTTTTTTTAAAGTCTTGGGAGACCTATGACAGATAAACCTATTAGGATCAATTTTTTGAAGGAGCAGTAACAAGAACTTTGAAATAAGTTTCTAGGAAATAATCTAGAGAAGTAATTTATTAAAAATGTGGTTTACTTTCTTTTCGCCAGGTAGGTTTATTTGATTCCTAGAAATATAAATTTGAAATAGCACGTAATGAGGCAGAACACAAAGAAAGATATAGACATTGATTTCACAGCTGGAAGAATAAAGATTTATATTTGCACATTGATGGAAAGTGAATTTAAAGCAACATAAATAATTTATGTTTAAAAATTATTGGATTTTCTCCCATAAATTTAAGTGCTTAAAATGATTTAAGACCTAAAGATCTTTATTTTTTGTTGTATAGATATCTTCCTGGTTGTATTTTATTACTGATTGTTAAAAACCTGCATTTTGGCTTAGCATCATCCCTGAAAGAGAACCTCAGGGAAGAAAATATTAAGAGGAGAGGGAGGGGCAGAAACAAGGAGGCAAAAGGGAAGGGGGTAGAAATATGGGTGACTGTATCACATTATATTACAAATGTAGGTAATTATAGTATAATTGGAGTTGCATTTGCAAGTTATTCAGAAAGCATTTAGAAAAATTAAAAACTATACAGTAGACATTGTTGAATTCATTTTTCCAAAACTGAATGCACATTTTAAATGTCTTTATTTATTTCAGATTCTTTGCACCTACTATATGAAAACATAAGCACCGCCCCTTAATGAAGTGTCCAGAAGACAAAAAGTAGTAGTTGCCCTAGACATTGGAATCATTGATTTCCCCATAAGTCACTCTTCAATTTCTAATAAATGTTCAAACACTAACACTGCACCTGTTTCTGGATATCTGTTACTGTTTTGATTTGGCACAAACTGTCCAACTTTCATCATATAAAAGAAAAATACATAAACTATATCCCACCTGATATCTACCTGACACAAAACCGTATATGACACTAGCAGTGCTTTAAATTGGTTTCCTCACTGATGTTTATCCTGACAATGATGTAGAGCATGCATCATCCTAACCAGAGAATATTTTCAAGCATTTGTTTCTTCTTTGGGCATCTTACATTTTTAAAACTGACTTAGATGGCTCATGTTTCTTTTCTGTGAATTTAGAGCCTGTAGACCACTGAGGGGAATTTTCAGTTTTATTTTTTCCAACCAAGGTATAATGAACTGGAGAATAAGCTCCAGAGGAGATCCTCAGGCAGACATGAAGGGGTCTGGTGTATGAGTGTTGTTGGAACCCGTGTGAAGTGGACTTTAAAAAAGTAAGCCAGACAAGAACCAGCTGTGGGCCACACCAGTGTTTAGCCCTGATAAGTGACAAGTGCACGAAGGCAGGAGAATCTCTGTCCTGAAGGCTGGTAGTGACCCTGAGATCTGCACAGCCCCTGCAGTCAGTGTCACAGCTTGGACACTGATTTTAGAGAGTACAAAGCTCTTTGTTTTGGACTTTTCATGCAGACTGGATCAATAATAGCAAGCTATAGCTAACAATTATTGAATGTTCCTAATTATATACTAGGGGCTGTGCCAAATACTTCACATGGATTAACTCATTGAAATATCACAGGAAACAAATATCATTATTGCTCCCTTTTGACTTCTAGGAGACTTGAGTTTCAGAGGGGTCTAGTAACATGTACAAATATGCAAAACAACACATTGTAGATTTAAGTTCACACCCAGTCTGATTGCAGAGTAGGGAAATCTAGCCAAATTATCCTCTCTCTGAAGGGCTCTAAAACAGCCTCTTAATGGCTACCAAGTTAGGAATGTGCCCAGCCCATTTGTGGTAGCCACTTAACTACTTCTTGGAGTCCTTCTTTCAGCCTTTGGGAGCAGTAACTAGATTAAGACAGATATATTTGCAATGAGCATGGAGTATATGGGAACTCTGTCCTTCCTGCACAAATTTTTTGTAAACTCTAAAACAGCTAAAGCATGGATAAGATATGTCAATAAAAATAAGGTCTATGCCTCTTTTTCTGCCTAATTCCATTCTCAAATGCATATCATCATCTGTCAAAATTTGTATCTAACACACAAACCCAGAACCTCAAGGCTTTCTGAACCATAAGGATTCCCAATTGGAATGTATTTTCCCCTTCTCAATCTCTCATGCAAGTGTCTTTGATTATTCTACTTATCCTAGTCTGCTTGGTATTAAAGCCACTTGTATCTTCTCATCAGATTTTGAGTCTTTGGAATATAGAGACCATTCATTTCTCATTTATTCCAATCTCATGCCCAATATCTGTAGTATGCCTGGGTACATGATAATGAAAATAACTATAACTACCTTTTATTGAGGACTTAATTTGTGCTGGGCATATATTACAAATTATTCATGATGAATAAAACTTGACAAATTTAGGCCTTCTTAATCCTGACCTGTATTCAGGTGATGAACTTTGAACTGGTCTTTGCTTGTTCCAATTGCCTTCATAGAAAACCCCCAGTGACTCTTCCCAAGTGTCATTTCCTGCTCAAAAATCTGTAATGGTGGTGCACCACTGTCTGTTCTCCAGCCTCCCTTAGGCCCCAGTCTGCTCCCCCCTCCTCCCTCCTTCAACATGAATTTTAACTACTCTGAGAAAAAAGACTATATTCTCCTCGATTTGGGACCATCTGAAGCTCCCAGAACAATGCTTTGTAGGTAGTGGGCAGGCTACAACCCCCATATTGGAGAGAAGTAATACCAGAGGGTAATGTATAAGCCATGAAGTCAGATGTAAGGGGATTCCAGTCTCAGCTAGATTATAATAGCTGCAGAACGTGGGCAAGCTAGTTAACTTCTTTGAGATTCAGATTCTTTTTCTATGGGCATAGCATTCTATGCATAGCATTACTGAAAATTTTAAAAGAAAAATGCATGTAGAGGTTGACATATATTAAGTATCTGATAACATGGGAGTGACAAGTACTTGTTTTATGAAATTCTCCTTCTGGAATGAATATCTTGAATTCCTTCTATCTAAAGACATTTCACCTCTCTTTTTTAGCCATAGTTATGGTCACAATAATTTGCATGAAGGCAAAATTGGAACAAGGATGGTCATGTTACAGTGTGAAAAAAACAAAATTCATCCAGGAAAATGTAAAGCCAGTAAAGACTGGCTTTATTAAGTGATTCATAAATCAGGTAGTATCTCCTCTAGCAAGTAGAGAGATGCTCCAAAGGGCAACTGAATAGGAGAGGTTTTTGAAGGTGGGCCAAGGAAGTCATAAACAGGAAAAAGGATTATTTCAGGTGACATCATCTTCATTTGGGGTCTTGTTAGTGGGTTACCTCATCTTCCTTTGGGGGATGGAGAGGGCACACATGACATTATCCTAGCGACGCTAACCAGAAAAATTCTTGACTGACAACGTTTCTTGGGGAGATGGAAACTGTAATTAGGTCAGGTGTTAAACCCCAGGTTGGTGACTTGGCCTAGGCAGATGTGACACCATGTTGGGCCTGTGGCTTTCTTTTTAACAGTAGACAGATATATTTATAATCAGATGTATATGTACTTTTAAATTACTCTACTTGTGAGTTAAATAATTTAATAGTATTTATTGAATACCTATTTTGCATCAAAATAGGTATTGGGGACACAGTAGTGAATAAGAAACAGTCCTTGACCTCTGCTAACTTTCATTCTAATGTGTACAATGACCCCACAGATATTCAAGAAACATGATGAAAAGCTTACCAGTGAAATGGACCCAAACCCTGCTTAGATTAGAATCCTCAGCTCCACTTTCTGGGCTTTAAAGCTTGGCTGTTAAAGTAAACTTTGGGGGAGTCCAAGAATGGTTAGGCAGATTTTTAAAAAACTAGGATTCAAAGAAGCAATGTTGTGGAGGCATGCCATATATATACATATATATGTTTTTTTCTTCTAGGAAAAAACAGGGATAAATTAGGCTACTAAGTCTTTGTATGTAGCAGATGGATCTGCGTTTCTCTACTTTTATTTAAATGACCTTAAACTACTTGTTTGGAGTGGAAGTTTTTCCATATTGGCAGGTCACCAGGAGCCCCCAAACACTGAAGCCCTTCTGTTTGTAGCAACTTGAGTGTGAACCCTGCCGACTGCACAGGGACAGACCGGCTAGCCTCCCCTGGTCCGGCTCGCCGCCAGCCCTGCCCTACAGAGCGCGAGCGGGAGAGCGGGGCGGAGGGCCCTCCCGCTGGGGGCGCGAGCGTGGAGGGCGTGGAGGGCGTGGGCCAGGGCGGGGCGAGCCCCGCTCGCCCGGCTCCGAGCGAGCTGTCAGTGTCGGGCTCGCGGCGAGAGGAAGTGCCGGGTCTCGCAGGAGCGCGAGCCGGGAGGCCGGCGCAGCGTGAGACAGCACATCCTGCGCGCGCCGAGCCGGCCGCCCTCGGGACCCGCTCGAGCGCCGCCGCCGCCGCGCCTGGGAGCCGCTGCCGCGCTCGGAGAGCCCGCTTCCGCCGCCGCCGCGCGCGCGTCCAGGTAAACGGGGCGGGAGTCGCGCTGCCCCGGTCGCCGCCGCCGCGCCCTTCGCGGCCCTTCCCGCCCCGGGGTCTTCGGCGCTGGGAGCCCGGCCGCAGCCGGACCTGTGCCCCGGCCCCTCCCCAGGCTCCCGTGGACTCCGCTGCTCCCTAAGGCGGCCAGAGCCCCCCAGCGGCCGCCCCTGTTGCAGCCAGCGGCTGAGCCTGGAGGCGAGCGCCGAGCAGGAGGGGTCCTGGTGTCATCACCTTGTCGCCCACCTTGTGGGCTAGGAGGGGCGTCCTAGGGCGGCGGTGAAGCCCGCAGCCCCGGGCCACCAGCTGACGGCCCCTGGGGGAGGGGAGCTGCGGAGGGAGGAGAAGGGATGCTGTTTGATTACATTTTCAGCTGTCTGCAAAGCTCTCAGATGCTGTTGCTACCCTTTAAGTCGCAGGCAGCCAAGGCACTTCCAGCAGGGCATTAATTAAACACTCACGCAAAGATGCCAGTTTTTCTCACTGCTGCAAAGAAAGTGTGGTTGGGGGATGTGTTTCCGTAAACACCCTCCCGGCCGCGTAGCTCTCCTTTCCCAACTCCCACTCCGGGATCGCCCTGGCCTTATAAATCCCTGCGTCGTCACCAGAAGGGCAGCGATTCTGGCAGCTCAGATGGGAGCCGAGTGTTCGGGAGTCTCGTGACCTGTACCTCGGCTATTAAGGTTAAACAGAAACCCAGCATCAGGACAGGAAATTACTTAGGAAATCGGGGCTCAATAAAATGCAGAAAATGGAATATACTTATTACCCTGGCCTCTACCACATCTAGGTAAGGGGTAGGAACAAGTAGCCAGCCATTTTCTTGCCTGGAATGCCTTTCAAGTGGGCGTTGTAGACTTACTGTAGTTCAGGGTTGTGAAAAATTGCTTTCAAATATTCCAAATTGGCAGAAAGCATAGCCAACAGTAAGGCATGATGACTGCCGGAAGACCTCCTATGCCTGATATTAACACAGATGTAGGTGAGTGTCTAGTACAGTTTTCACTGTGAAAATTATGAAGACGTTGATCGGTGTTAGTAAATTCCTCTGATTATTTGAAATGCCAAATTTTCTCCAAAAGTTTTGGGGTGGGAAGGAAGGACCCAAACTCTGCTCTTCTGACCACATTTCTCAATAAAATAAAAGCAGGTACTCTTGCCACTAAGTCATCAAATGTTCTCTTCACAGGCATCAGCTCTTCAGTATTTCTTAAGATCTGAGGATCCAGTGCTCCAAGAGCCATTTCTCTTAAAAATCTTGTAGCACCATCCTTGGGATGTTTGGACAGTATGGTTGGAGGCCCAGTACAGGATTTTTCCAGCCTGTCCAGCTGTGGGCCAAGCGTTTGACCCAGAACAACTCCTGGCTCATTTTCTTCCTTGCCTCAGGCAGGATGAATGTCTCCGCTCAGGCCTGTTCTTTCGGGGACACCTCTGCTGCACAGTGCCCTTCAGGGGCCACACCCAGCCCTCCATCCTCTCCTACCGAAAGCATGCACCATGGCCTGAAACTCTTTTGGTGTGGAAGGTCTACATCACTAGGGGAAACCATCCCTCCTTAAGGATATGGCAGAGGAAATAAACTCCCTGCAGGACAGTGAGGCTGAGTTCTTACCATGGTGCTCCTGGGCCCTTAGTTTCTGACTAACTTCCGAGATGGTAAGAGGAAGTCACCCACCATTTCTGTCATCCTGTTTTAAGTCTACAAGGGGCTCTTTTAACTTTCTTGCCTCTCCTTCTACTTCCGCAAACCCTCCTTCCCAAGTCTACATTTAATAAGTAAGACTTTAGCTTAGCTCCAGTGCTGAGTCAAGTAACTGTCCGCATCATTCCTGGGTGCTGCCCTGTCCATACTCAGACAGCTGTGTAGACTAGTCTTGTAATACACATGCCAAGTCATTAAACCCAGCATGTGTCTTAGTATAGACTGTGTGCCCAGCTTCATCCACAGTTACATAATTGGGCCACTAATTCTCCTCAGTCACCCCGTCTCTTCACCAGCATCAAGAGGAAAGGTCACAAACATTCATTGCAAATATAAGTGTATTTCCTCATTACTCTATTGTCCCTACACTTTGCTTCACCAAATAAAACAAAGGTTGATATTATACTAAGCACTGTACCAGTGCTCAATCCATTTACTAAGTCTTACACTACATTTACTAAATGTATTACCAATACATTTACGAATATGTATTGAACACTTGACCAGGCATTGCATTTTAAGCTACTTTCTGCGTATTGGCTTATTTAGTCATCACAAAATCTTATAAGATGTATATTATTATTGCCAGATGAGAAAACTAAGACAAAAAGATGTCAAGTAACTTTCTGAAAACTGTTCAGCTAACAAATTGAAGACCCAGGATTTGAACCCCAGCTATTCTGACTCTACTGTTCCATACTCTAGAACAAGTCCATTGGTTAATTTTCATATATTGAATACAAGGCTCTTTTTTTATATTATCTCATTTAAATCCTTATATGAATTCTATGAAGCAGACATTAATACCCATATTGTACAGATGGTGAAACTGAGTTGAGTGACATACTCAAGGTTATAGGTAATAAATGGCAGAGGGCGGCATTCAGATCAGGTCTGCCCGACTCTAAAACTAGAACTCATCCATTTTAGTTAGTGTCCTCTGAGAAACAAAAAGAGCTGAGCTTGCCTGTTTCTTTCAGATGTGCTGCCCAATTTCCCTTTGAGCCTTTGTTATTTCCTTTGAGCCTCAAGTGAACTCATAATTTTTTGCCTGCTCCTTGTAGTTGTGGATGATATGGCAAAACCAAAATAGGACCATGGCTCTTCCTAAATCAAATTTTGTCTTGGTCCTATCTCCTTAATGATACTAGGTGATTTCTCATAATACTTTGTGGATCTCAAATGCCATGCAAATAGTTGCTCCCTTGATCAGGGATAGGGGTTCCTTCTACTAGAAACTTTTGTGGCTTCTACATCCTCTGAAAAATGTAGTCTGTTCTTTTAGGAACTTCACTGGGATAGTGAACTTCTGGAGTTTTACTTCTAAAGTTAATTTGACTCTCATTTCTTTGAAATTTATAAATCTTTTCCCAGGTACCTCTAAAAATGATTATTCTTGACTGGGAACTTTTCATCAATATCTTGGACTTAATTTTCTTTGCTTCCTCTCTACAGGAAGCCTGACACCAGAATATCAGAGTAAAGCTTGCATTGTAACATAGACACCGCTGCCTGGGTGCCAGTCTTGAGGCATCTTCTGATTCTTTGTTTTGAAAAGGCTGCTTAGACAGGAGTTGTGGGCCCTGTGGAGGTCAGGCACTTGAAAGCTTTACGAAGATCATTGAACCTGATAAAGCTGATGCAAAATTTTATGCATTTGTTCATAAATGCTGTTTTTTAGGGAAGAAATAGGGTGTTTATGACTAAAAAGAGATTAAGAAGCACTGGTTCAAATGCACTGTTTAGGAACGAAAGGGAGGAGCAGAGGCCACTCTGCTGAAACTTGTTGAAAACAAGGCAAAACTATCCTGCCAAGGCCAGCCTGAAAAAAAATTCATGACTGTCAGTCTATTTTTGGCATTTTGTAACTGAAGCATGTTAGGGTGCCCAGGTGCTGATACTATGTATGCTAATGTATGCTGCAACCAAGTGAGGTCTCCAGTAATTCCAGGCAGTCCTAGCAGTGCTTGCCATTCATTGGGCACTTACCCTGTTCATATCAAGGCGTCATCGAATCTTTCCAACATCCGTGTGTGGCTGATATTTTTATCTTCATTTGACAGATAAGGAATCTGGTGCTTGGAAACACTGAGCCACTTGGTCAAGGCCACATGAGGCCAGGTAGAAGAAGGGCTGGATTTCAAAGGCAGGTTGGCCAGATTCCAAAGTCTGTTTATTCTCTTTCCATTATATCTCATTGTTTCTCTATTGTGGCAGGACAGACAGTCCCTTAGAAACATGCTTACACACTGATGGGAAAAGCCTAAATGTGTTATCATTGGGGAACAAGAAAATCAGACATCTCTCAGTATGGTAGAGGATAAGCAAGGCCTGCTTTGCTGAGGTGTGCTGAAGGCCCACATGTTTGATTCTCAAGGGTCACCAGCTGTCTTGCTGAGCATCAAAATCATAGCAGTCCACAACTCAGCCCAGAAAGTTGATTTTGCAGGGGTCGCTGCAAGTCAAGACTTTATTCATTGCAAAGATGAATTTCAAAGCTGCTCAGTGTGCTGGAGCTTACCTGGCACAGTGGCTGTGTCATAATCCAGAACACTAACTTGGTACTCTAACCTGGGAAGCCCTTTGCTTACCAGATGACCTGTGTGCTCTTTAGTTTTGGTTCATACCAGTCCTAAGATCCTTACAAGCAGCTGCTCTTGTTTGTAAAAGATGCCTTAGTCCCTGACATGTTCATGTTCACCCATATTCTTGCTATGCTCTTATAGAACAACCCATTGTTTCATTTGGGGTGCAGACCAGCTAATGCCATTGGTGTGACAAACACATAAATTTATGTTAGAACCAGGAGCATTCTTTATAATAAAAGTAAAGTGGTCTAAAATAAAAGGTGTCTCAGGCACCATAGAGGACGATTGCCCTTGATTAACAGATCTGCTTGGGAACAGATACCAGTTTATTTCATTATGGCAACATCTTTTTCTTTCCTATAATCTATAAAGAATTTTAAAGCATTCCACTGCTTCCTCACCCCCACATGCTTTAGGTTGGCATCTAACCATTTTTATCATAAATTTTAAGGATCACAATGTGATATTCAGAATATTTGTAAACATTGACATTTTCAAATAAAGCGATGATGTCATTTTTGAATCCAGTTAAAATCTAAATACTACACCAACCTCTATTTAAAAAGTACCTGAAGAAGCTCCTCTGCAGAAGGATATTGTTATACCTTGTGGTCAAGCATCACAGTAAAATTTGGGGTGTCCTTTTCTTTTATTTCCTGGTAATGTGGAAAAAAGGGTTTTTATGAAAATGGGGAT